CATGGCCAAGGAGCAGGAGGCAGCGGCGGCGGCGGCCCCGGGGGCGCCCCGCCGCCGCCAGCCGCGCCTCTGCCACATGCTGAAGGGCCCCGACGGCTACGGCTTCCACCTGCACGGCGAGAAGGGCAAGAGCGGGCAGTTCATCCGCAAGGTCGAGCCCGACTCGCCGGCCGAGGAGGCAGGGCTGCGCGCCGGCGACCGCGTCGTCGAAGTCAACGGCGTCAACGTCGAGAAGGAGACGCACCATCAGGTCGGCCGGGCGGCCTCTCGCGGGAGCGGGGCCGGGGCCGGGTCGCCGCGCGGCTCCGGGGGCAGGGCAGGCTGCCGCCCCCTCGGGCTTCCCGGGGTCGGCGGCGAGCGCAGGAGAGGAGCCAGGTGCTGCCCTCCGGAAATGCGGGGCCGCAGCTCCCACCTTCCTGACCCTCAGCCGCGGGGGCGAATGGGAGTTGGAGTCCGAAACGGCCAGAGGGGGACAGCGGGCCCCTGGACCCTCGTTGGTCGGATCCGGCAGGACGCTCCAGCCCGGCTTTGTAAGCTGCTCCGTGTGTGGTGTGGGGGAGCGCAGTGTAAAAGCGAGATCGAAAGATCGCGACGTGGAACTGCCGTGCGCGAGGCAGTCTACCTGCGAATGCCTGCCTCCGCGGCGGGGTGACTCCGAGCACCCGGAGGCAGCGGTCCAGCTGCTGCGTGCAGCAGGCTGGGGCGCCGCGGGCAGCTGTGCCTCGAAAGGCACTTTGCGGGGCATGGAAATGCTCTTGAGGGCGAGGGAGCCGATGCGCCCAGGGAGGAGGAGGCCAGCGCCGGCCATGTAAACAGGAAGAATCGCTGCCTCCTCCGGGCTGCTCTGCGGCTTGCAGATCAGGCGTTCGGCCCCGCTGCTTGCCATCTGCTTTATCATCACCTGGGAGAAAGGAATGCCTGCCTGCAGGTATCTCAGGGCCCAGGATTTAATTTGCTCCCCGGAGTCCTTCTGTGCAGTGGTTGCACTTCCCAGAAGCTGCCCTCCCTCTTCCCCGGTGGCAGGCCCTCCTCTAGCACCCGGCATCTGGGCAGTCAGCACTGCACTGCCAAAGCTAGAATGTCTGCGCTGTTTCGTACGTTATGCAGGGAAGACTCGATTTGGCCACTTGGCAGGGAGCGGCACCCATGACGGGTCTCTGAGGTGTGTACCTGTACGCACAGCAGGGAGTTTGCATGCACCTAAGACTGCACACAGCAGACTTCGCAGGTGCATGCAGAAAATGCAAGGGGGGGGGGGAAGGAGCCTAGAGCCATCCTTACTCCTTGGGTGCCCAGTGCTGTGCTTCCCCCCCTCCATGCTTTCATAGTTCGTGCCACCCCTTGCTTTCCCTGTACCCTTTCTCATCCCTGCCAGTTTCAGGGCCTGCAGCCAGCTGAAACCCTTCACCCGTTTGATGGATGGGTTGTCCTTGCCAGACGGGGTGCCGTGGTGTCTCCCTGTCAACATATCTTTTATCACCTTGGTGTAAGGCCTTGTATGTGTCTGCAGAGACTGGTGGCCCTGTGAACGCCGCAGTCTCCCAGTGACCAAAGGCGGGAAGGAGACAGGCCAGTAGGAATGCCCCTGAGCCTCGGACCGGACCGATATGGCTGCCTGGAATCGCGAGAGAGACGAGCCTCTAGGCAAATGGAGATGGAGCTTTGTTTCTTAGGAGGAGAGCTGTGGTCCTTTCAGAGTGTTGGGCTCGGAAGCAAAGGCAGCTAAGGAGGCATGGAGTGCAGAATTCAGAATGGTTTACCAGGCAGTCCTCCCTGCCTGGTGCCCCAGATGTGTTGGGCCACCCCCCCCCCCAATCATCTGCAGGCAGCATTTCCAGGCTGGTGTAGCGAGGGTGAATAGAGGGAGAAACATCATACTCTTCCAAAAAGTGAGTGTCGGAGTCAGCAGTTACTGAGGCGTAGTGGTCAGCTACCATTTGGGTACCTCCCATTTGGTGCAGCTTGTTGCTCTGTTGCCAGTCAGCCCTGTGACACAAGGGGACCATGATGCGCGGTGCTGGCAGAAGTGAGAGTATGGTCTGGGGGCGCATAAGGGGACCGTCATGTTGCAGCTAAGCGGGTCTGGGGCTGGCCTGAGCCTGGAAGAGAGACCGCCTGCATGTAGCCACCTTGAGTTGCACAGTGAGAGACATAAATATAATAAATACATTTGGCAGTAGCTTATGGAGGACTGGATTGGTTCAGGACCCTCAGCTGACAGACCGGGGAGACACTGTTGGGTTTATACTATCACCATTACTTAGATTCACTTCAGGAGTCAAGAGGAAGTAATTCTGTTCTGAGCCATGTGTAGGCTCCATTTTTGTACCATTGCAGGTGGGAGAAGAAAGCATAATGGAAATCCCAATTTTTCTTTTTCAAGCACATTTCTAGTCCATATGACTACAAAGGCAAACTGGAAAGTGTGTGTTCAATGCTTGGTGGTGCAGAAGCAGGGTGATACTGTGACTTCAATAATTAATCGCACATGGTAGAATTCAGTTTTTTGTAGTGCGGAAGCTGGAGTAATATTTTGGTTTGCAGCAGAGTCCACACAGCCTTAGGCTCCATTGCCTGAAACTAATTTGTTCTTGTTGCTGCTGCTGCTGTTACATGCTGACAAGTCACCAATAGGCTGGACATGCACATGGCTGGACATGCACATGGTGGGCATGCCGTGAGCGGAGCCGGCTGGAGCCGAGGGGCAGGCTAGATGGCCCGGGAGGCCCCTTCTGTTTTTATGCTTCTGTTTCGATGTTTGGCAACCCTCCGAAATGTCCTTCGCAGCCTGCTCGGCTCTTGTAAACAAAGGGCTGTGGCTTCCTTGATGGAGGCCCTCCATCTCCTCTGCTTCTTCCACTGACTTTCCCTAGCATGATTGTCTTTTCCTGGTGGTTTTGCCTTCTCATGAGGCGCCCAGAGGAGGACAGCTCAGTTTTGTCATTTTGGCTGCGAGGGATAGTTCTGGCTTGATTTGATCCAGGACCTGCTCATTCAGACTTCTGTTGATCTGAGGTATTTGCAAAACTCTCCTCTGGCTCAATGTTTCAGATGCATCCGTGCTCTTCCTGCGGGCTTTCCTCACTTCCAGCTTTCTCACCCATGGAGAGCAAGCTCTATTTTGGCAAGTTCTTTTTCCATGGCTTGGAGCCGCACTCCACAAGGAAAAGCTAGGGCAGCACTGAGGGCTGCAGAGTGAGGACAGCAGATCTGGCATGGTCTGGCGAAGGACTTTCCATCTCTCTGCAGGGAGAGCACTGTGCAAGAGGAAGCATTCTTCATGCAGTGGATAGACTAAGACTAAGGATCAGGAGGTGAGCTGAGCTGCAGGAGCCAGTGGCGAGCCAGAAGAGAGGACTGGACGAGGGGCTCTGGGGTCTGAGTGGGAAGGAGATAGGTGGTTCTCCCTGCATGGGTGTGAGAGGGAATGTGCGGGGGGGCGGGGGGGGCTCACTGGAATGTGTTGCCCAGTGCATGCGAGTCAGCTTGGCTTCTTTTATCAGGATGCCTGGCATCCAGAGGGCAGGCCAGCCAGCCAGATCAGTTGCTACTCCCTTGTGCCATGAAGAAGACCAGATTCTCTCCCTTCGCTGAGCTCTTTTCCATGGCCCCTGCCTTGGGGTGGCAGTTCTCCCGCTGGTGCCGTTCTTTATGTCCATCTCTTTCTGTGGTTTTGCAGAGCGCCTTGAGTAGCGGCACATCACTGCGCAACTGTTTGCCGTGTGGCTGGGCACAGACGCAGTCTAATGGGGAGAAAGAAGTGGGTTGGAAGCTGCACCAGGAATTAGGCTTTGAGTTACTTTGCCTCGAAGAGGGTGGGGCTTTGTGCCCACCCGTGTGCGTACGCCTCTTCATTCTTATACGTCAACATGAAAATATTAAAGGCACTGTGCAGGATCACTCTAGCCAAGCATTTTGATCCCATTGTGGCCAATATACAAAACCTGGAAGCAGGATGTGAGCTGATTCAGGATAATGTAATATGTAGACCAGGTTCACATAACACAACAATTAACACTCAATTTTAAGTATGGGTTGTTGGGTTGTATGAAATCAAGCATGGTTTATTACCATGAACACCCACAATTTACAACCCAACAACAAACCATGGGTTCTTTCAGTTGTTCATGGTTTTTTGTTCACACTGGAATCCTGCAGATCTTCTGCACACTTACTTGAAAATAATCCCTACTGAACATATTGGGAATATTCATACTTAAAATAAGATTATGGGTAAAACATCGTTTCCAATCACATGTTGATTTATTTATTGTGCAAACTTGTATTCTGATTTCCAGTAATAGTATCAAAGAGATTAGCATAATGGAAAATAAAATTAAAATGCAATAACCAGTGCTTAGAAAGAGACCTGTGACTGTACTGGCTGGGCCACCTCTCCGGGAGCCCTTGTGCGAAGAGGCCAGTTCTCTGGAGGCCTCTGTCCTGTGCCTGTCTGGGCAGAAAAGAGTCCTGCAAGTCCCAGCGCTGGTTTCAGGCTTGCTCGCCAGTGGGGAGCACGTTCCAGGGCCCAGTGTGGCAGCACGACGCGCTCTGCAGCGAGTGTTTCTGTGGAGGGCCAGGGACAGCAGAGCCAGGGGATCCCTCAGGCAGACTGGCCCAGAGCTGTTTCGGGCTCTGTATGTTGACGACCAAGCCTCTCGGCAGCTGGGGTGGTTCTTGCTGCCGAGGTATGGTAGGTCGTTTTGTGGCTGTGCTCGGCACGGGCTCCCACATTTAGGGGGAAATGCCCTTCCCGGCCGCTTGCTGAGATTGTACTTTTAAGAACTTCTCTGGGTACTGCCATCCACAACAGCTTTCTCGGTCCCCCTTACTTCCTTAATATTTTTTATGTTCAAAACATTTGCGGGGCGGGGGGGATTCTCTTTTTTCTGTATTATTGTGTGGTTGCCGTTTGACCATCATTTGGAGGTCTTTAGGGTGAAAACTTCTTGAGGATATTTCCCACATTGGACATACAACTAATGGAGGAATGGGGGAGAAGCGAGGCGTGAGCCTTTCCTCGGGTGCCTCAGAATGGCTTGTGAGGCCCCCTCCCAGGGCCGTCTGAACGCGTGGGCCGGATGGGCGCTTGCCCGTGGGCCCCATACTGATCTGTGCGTGTTAACCCTTGGAAAATGGGAAAACTTCCAAAATGAACAGTAGTTGTCGTTGTCGTAGAGGCCGCAGTGCACTGCCTTGCCCGGGCCCCTCGTGCTGTTCAGACGGCCCCGCCCTCTGCCCTCCCACCCTGGCGCTCCTGGTGGCGTCCTCACAATTACTCTGTAGGCCAGGCCGAGGAGGAGTGGGCGGCCTAGCTCGCCCAGCCAGCTGCATGGCAGGGTTACAGCAGGCCGCTGCAATGTCCTGGCTGGAATTGTCTCTTCGCCTCGCCTGGAATCCCCCCGTCACAGGCGGTCTCGGGGAGCCTGGGGGGGGGGGCGTTCATGACCCAGAGGCCTTCTCCTGGCCAGCGACACAAGGGCTTCATTTGACGAATGCAGTATTTTGCCTGCAGAGCGCTTTCAGCCTTTCAATTCCCACCTTGCTTATTCAGGAGTGAAGCCTCTCTGATTTCTTTCATGAGGAACAGCAGGTGGTCTGGTGGCCCTTATTTCAGACACATGAACCTCTGCGCAGATGAGAGCCCAAAGCCACGTCTAGATGTCCAGTGTGGGGAACTGCAGACCTGGGACGGGCCGAGCTCTTCCTCGCGGCACACGCCCAAGCAGCGAGCTCTTGGCTGAGAGCGTGGCCATCTCTGGGCTGCCAATAGTTGGAGCGGATCTGAGCTTTCTCCTTGCTTCTCTCATTTTTAAATGTTATTTCTTAAGATTTTTAAATTTAAAATGTTCTTAAAATGGGGAGGTGGGCATGCTGCAAAGAGAAGTACTGCTGCCCGGTGCCATCAGTGCTTGGGGGCAAAGGACTGGCGTTGAGTTTGGAGCTCCAGGGCCTCCTGTGCCTTGTACTGAAGCTCTTGAATAAGTTATTTTTTTTGTCAATGTGCCGCAAGGGAAACAGATGTTCTCTGACTGGGTGTGGCCACCCCAGCAGCAGTTGTACGAATGGGCAAGCCTGCCTGGCAGCCATTTTGTGAAAGCACCCAGGACATACTCCCCCAATGCTGTCCACTCTCTCTAGCTACACATGTGGAGAGTACCAAGTTATGAAAGGCTGCTGGAGAAGGAAGAGATGGGGTAGCTGGCAGCACAAAGCTGCCTTTATTTACTGACATGCAAGAGCTGTTCTGTAAAACATTCTCAGGTTAATATGAATACGGCTGTGATGTGTAGGTGATAATAGCAACTTTGCTCAAACAGCTGAGACTTTTTATGCCTTGAAAAATGTCTGGGCTGAGAAGGTAGAACTAAGCATTAGGGGAGGGTACACAGAGATGGGATAGGGAGAGATATTCCACACAGCAATAGCTAAAATTGTGGAGGCACACTCTCAAATTGGCAGGAGGTTACGCGGATCCCAGTGGAATCCTTCCAGCCTCCCCTTATTTGCCATTATGTCCCACTTGCAATCTTTGCTTGTCCCACACTGCTACCTCGTGGCGTCACCTGTCCCAAAGTTTCCTCCACGCTAAAACATTCTGCTTGTTCCCCTTTGCTACCTGAACCTCGCACAAGAACACCTGCATGGTACCGTTTCTCTTATTGCTCAAATCCTTCCACAAAATCCACTTTCCCATGAAGCCTTTGGGTCAGCCCTTTACCTGTGACCAAAATGGCATTGGCTCATGTCCATCTGTTGTTTTCCTGTCTTCCTTTTCTTGGTTTGATGTCTCTCCCCATAACATGCACACTGTGTTCATTTTTGTTGTGAGGTCCCAGAAGCTGGGATGCACCTGACTTTTTACTTCCAAGCACTGTGCGGCTGATAGAGTTGTATTTAATACTGACAGCATTAATAAAATCCGGGCAACTCACTGCCGCCACATGTTGACTTGGTAATTGGAAGAGAAAGTGGAGTTTTAAAAGGATTGCGCAAATGCAAACATTTCTGCAGATTTTATGTATGATGGTCAGGAGAACCACCTCTGAATTCAAAGGAGCAAGATCTTGCTGGTCAGGAACAGTAAAGGACTGATCCAGGAATTCATTTATTGTTGGTTTTTAAGCTTTTTAAAAACTCCACTACTCTGGAAGCCAAAAAGGCTTTGAGAGCAGCTTATATAATTTCTGCAGCAGACAAGACAGTCCTTCCCTTCAGTATTGCAGTGGAAAAGGCATGACACAAGCGAGAAACGGGATCAGACAGGGAGAGCTGAAGAGAGGGCCTGGCCACCCCACCGCTCCCTCTGCGGCAGTCAGGTGGCCTGGTGGCGGACATGAGGTAGTCAAGGGAGGGGGGAGATGCCTGGCGCCTGCTGCGCCACCTCTTCCTCTGCTGCAGCCTTTGGGATTTACCTGGGGGCTCGGCATGCCGTGCAGCATTGCCAGGGAGCATGTTCACCGTGGCTGCAGTCTGTGCATTTCCCACTGGGCCTACCTCTCTTCTGCAGAGGCTGGTCGCATGGCCAGGCCTTCAGGGAGAGGAGTGAAAAAAGCCATGGTCTGTTCTGGGCCATTGATCATTTGGTACCTTGGTGGGGGGGGGCATCCTCTTCACAGAACTGCAGGGAACTCCCTCCTGCACGCCAGTGTCATTTGCTCTGACAGCAGCCCACTCGCGCGCGCACGTTCACACACAATCTTGGGCAGCTTCCATGCATTTCTGTAAGTGTCGCGATTGTACCATTTGACTCAGTTCTGGCTGAAGCTCCTACAGGCATCCTTAAGTTCATTTTGAAATGCGGTGGGTACAAAATACAAAAGGAATCAGATCACAGAAGAGAAAACTGGGTGCCACCATTGAAACGGCCCTGCCCTCCAGCCTAACCGGAGGGTGGGAACATCGGAGGAGAGCCTGCAGCGATGACCACAGCAGATGGGGAGGTACAGGCGGAACAGGTCTTCAGCTCCGGAGGCCCTACCCGGCCCCTGATGGACTGTTTGAACCCTGTCCCTAGAATTTAACCCTGTCAGGACTCGGTTGTTCCAAGTGTTTTCTGCTCGGCCAGCTGAAAAGGCGTCCAGAGCTGCTCCTGCGCCATCTTCCACGTGCGCTAGTGAGGGGGTATAAGGACATGAGCCTTGATGGGTCAGGCAAGGCCAAATGTGTTCAGGAGACTTCGGAGTCCATTTTCTCCAGACACCTGGCACTCGGAGCTATCTTCCTTCTGAACCTAGAGGTTTGCTCCACCTTTGGGGGGGCCCTGCTGGGTCCCAGCCAGGACATCCCACCCTGCAGCAGCTGCTCACCATGCCTGCCTTCCTTCGGCGAAGCTGGCAGGCAGGTACCGCTGGAGGCAGGAGCTCTGGCTGCTGTTTGTGCCCCCACACACAAACACCTGGTGTGCAGGGCTGACCTGTCTCTCAAAAGCAAGGCCTGGCTGAGCCATCATGACCAATAGCCAAGATGGACTGTGGTGCAGCTGTGCACTGCAAGTTGTACGGTCCTTTGAGAAACAAAAGCCATCGCCTTACTATTTGAAAGGAACTCCTCAGATAATGAGTAGATGTACAACCCGCAGCTCCTTGGCCTTTGCTGGCTAATCAGCTGGCCCATAGGTGCTTAATCCGTACAGGTATATACTCGCTACGCATCAGTATTTCTCTTGCTGACTGGAAGTGCCCCATATCCGCGCCCTCATCGCATGTCCGCAGTCGGCTTTCCTCCCCTCTGCCCCTCTCCCCTTTGCACGTTTGGAAGACCCGTGGCTGCGTGTCGCTTCTTTCAGGACTCCTCATCGTGCTCTCCTTTGCTCCCCCCCGCCCCCAGGTTGTGCAGCGTATCAAAGTTGTCGAAGCTGAGACCAGCTTGCTGGTGGTGGACAAAGAGACGGACGACTACCTCCGAAGCCTTCAGCTGACCTGCACAAAAGAGATGGTGAGCGCAGGTATCGTGGCAGACTTGGAAGCGTTGCCAGCCAAATCACCCAGCAGCGATAATGGAGATATCTGGAAACCTCAGATGGAGCTGAGTGGCAGGAACCTCAAGAGGCACAAGCACAGCTTGAGCTTGGAGAGTGCAAAGAAGGTGAGTCCGTGACTGGGGGGCCCTGAGCCTCGGGAGGTGGAGGGGACGCAGTGTGTCTCGGTCCTGGGGGCCTCCTGAAGGACAGCCTTGCTGCTCTGGTCTTTCCCAGCCTACTGCAGGGCGTCTCGGTGTGGCTCCTCCGTGCCTTGGATCAGTCCTGGCAGATTTATCACCACTGCGAATGCCTGCATTGCGATGGCTTGTGCGGGAGGCTGGGTGCTTTGTGCAGAGCTGGAGAGCCAGCTGGGTTGCTGAGCTTCTGCCAGGCGTGGGACATGTGCACGGAGGCATGTTGAATCCAGCACTGCGGAAAGCGGCGGGAGGCATTTGCCTGGTTCTGGACTCTGCTCTGCAGTGGGGAAGGGGGAGAGATCGAATCTAGTGGTGGTGGGAGGCCTTTGTTCCTCCCTGGCACATGGAGTCCGGATGCGTGGTTGGGCCTTGCCTACAGATGCTCGCAGCTGAACTTAGCTCAGTTAATTCCACCACTTGCTCTGCAAGTGGGAAGGTGCTCCTTGATGCCAGACCAGTAAAGGGCTCTGTGTTGAAGCATTCCAGGTGCTTCGTCCGGCATAAACGTGTTTCTGGGACAGCCAGCTTTGCAGGGCAAGGCAGCCAGGCTTGGACTCTTTCACGTCGGGCATCACTCCTTGGCTCATGAGTTTATTTTTACAGCAAGAGGGGTAGAAATGTGCTTGATCAAAACAAAAAGAGGGGTGGGAGAGGAAAAGGAAACCTTCAAGATGCCAGGTTTCTGGTGCAGAAAGTGCATCAACAAAGACACATAGCCCCTGCCTCAGGGAAGGGCAGACCTTTGAGAAGACAGCCTTTCATGTTTTGTAACTGACTCAGGAAAAGGATTCAGCAGCAGAAACCAGGAGAGGCAAACTGTAAGAAGCCCATGGTTGGTTGCCTGAGGGTCCCTGGCGTAGCGAGGGCCCTGCCCAAGGCCCTGGAGGGCAGTGGCGTGCCCAAGGCCTGGCTCCATTTAAGGCAGGGTGGCTGATCCTTTTTCACTCTGAAAAGCAGGCAGCAATTTGGAACAGGAGTAGGGAGACGGTGTGGCTGGCTCTTCTCCTCCCTGCCCCTGCCGTCCCCTGATCCAGGTCTCTGTTCTAAGATGGCTTGAGCCTCGAGGGGTGGGGGAGGAATGTTGCCACCTCCTCCCTCTGGGGCTAATCTTATGGGGCAGTGCTGGGGGGGGCGGGTGGCATGATTGAGCAATGGCCCTGGAATGGGTGACTCGCTTGTTCCTGGTGCCCGGAACAAGGCATCTGGTTCCTGCCATTTACAGTTTGGTGCCGAGGCCTGCCCAGCTCCTTTGGTGGTGTTTTGGAGTGGCTGCCTCTGCTTTTTATGAAGCACTAAAGGGTCCGTTGCCAAGGCAGCACTTAGCAGAGAAGGCTCAGCGGAGAGCACCAGGGCGCAACCGGCACGCATTAGTTCCGCATGAACATATTTAAACCAGACTCAATGGCCATTTGTCTGGTTGCCCGTGAAAAAGAAAAATCGCCTCCAGATGACCAGGCTGGGAAACCCGGCTGAAAGATATTTCGATGCAAGCTGCTGACTTTCCAGATGTGGAGTGGACCCACCTTTTGGCTTGCATGCTCTTTATGAGGCATTTACATTTATAATGCAACCCTACACATTTGATGTAAGCCCCATTCCCTGAAATGGGGCAAATGATGGCAGCCTTAGGCATCTTCAGGGGGTTACCTTGTCCAAAGGGTCATGCAGGAAACTCACCTTAAACTTGACAATTGTAATTATTTCATGCACACCTTTTGTAACAATCTCCTAGACAGTAAACCTAATAAAATCAGGCCAGCTTGTAGCTGAGCCCATGGGAATGTCAACATGTTGCATTGACTCCTGTAAAAATTTGTTTCTGTTCTTGTTTGGCTTGCTGCAGCTTTGCGCCATGTCAAAACACAAAACAGAGCACGGACCGGAGAAGGTCACCCTCAGGTCATGTTTAGGAAGTTTAAATTACAGCTGGTTGAAAATAACATATTTGACATAGAAGGAGAAGCAGGCAGATGGGATTTTCGGTTCTGGGTGCTAATTAGCCCTTTTCTCAAAGAAGGGGAATGGAAGAGGCAGCAGCTATTTGCATTGCAAATGAACTGGAGGAAAAAGAGCTTTACTGGAACTGTGGGTGGGTGGGAGAAGGGGGGTGCGCACATCTTTGAGCTAATGTTTGACAACCAAATGCAGCCGTAGTCACAGCCACATGTATCCTATCATTAAAAATTAAAACAAAGCAACACACACACACACACACACACACACACACACACACACACACACACGTGTTCTGCAGCCTGTATCATGTGCAAGCATCTTGGCCTGGTTGATTCTCCCCTATTTCTCATGATTCTGCTGTTGATGAATATTTGGTGAGGGGGCAGCAGGATGTTCTGCATTTTGTTCACCCCCCTCCCCCCAAAAGCATTTCAGAATTTATTCAGAATTGCCTGTATACTTTTGAGATTATCTTCATGATTGGAAGCCAGACACCTGTTTAAAAAACAAGGATGCTGCCTTTAGGAAAACCCTTTTGTACCCACTCCCCTGTCTTAAGTGGTGCACTGGCAGCGGCAAAAGCTCCGAAGCACCTGGTTTTGTGAATAAAACGAGATCAGCGCTCCTCCAGCAGCTGGATGCGGCTCACCAGTGCATGTTGCCACCTCAGGAGGGATGGGGGGACAGGATCACGGTGTCCACCCTGGTGCATGACTCCAGAATAGCCTTCTCCCCTTCCTCCCGCCCCCCCCCACACACTCATGTGGAGTCTTGCTCAGAACTTTAGCCGCCTGTTGTTTTTGAGCTGGGGTGTTGGCAGGAAGCCCCACCGGAGAAGGAAGGTATCCACCCCAGAGCAGAAATTTCCTTTGCAGTGGTATTTTTAGTGCAACACAAAATAAGTGGAAATTAAAAGGAGGTAGGAACAAGATTAGCATCAGGATGGACTGGGCTGGGCCTGCTTTTGTTTCTGGGGACACCAGTTCCTTGGGTTTCTAGACCAAAGAAACCGCACATTCCCAGCAAAAGGGTGGGTGCGGAGGCATGAAGCACTGTGGGTTTATTGCAAGAGTGGAAGGGTCAGAACGTTAGAAACCAAAGAAGGACACTGTGTAATCATGTTGCTAGGCCTCAGGTTTACTCTGTGGAGTGTTGAGGGATGACAGACTCCCAAAACGCACCCAGTGCCAGCCCTCTGCCTCTTCCATCCAGCAGGACTGTGCAGGCAGTCCAGTTGCTGGGAGGGAGGGGAGGCAGTCACGGACGGGGACGGGGAACCCAAACTGGGCTGCCTCTCATTATGCATCTCAGTTGTACTTTCAGAGCTGAAGGGGGAGTGAAGAGGGACTGGTGCTTGTAGGGCGATATGCATCCCACTCGTGGAGCAGTTTCTTTGTGTTGTTGGGAAAACGTGTTTGACCAGAGGCAGCAGTGGAACCAAAGAAGGGGAAGGTGGGTGCGCATGGAAGTGCCCCCTCAGAAGCACGAGCGCCTGCCTCTGGGTTGGGTCAGAACAAGGACAATGTGCCTGGCTGCGCGCACCCTGATGTTCTGCATCGGATGGGAAGGGTTGTTTATTCGCTGTCACAAATTACAAGCCTTAGTTTACATAACATGGGCAAGAGGATGGGAAGGGTCCAGCAGCTGACCACCTTGAACTGGGAGGCAGGGAGTTCAGAAGAGGTAACTACCTAAGAGGTGTTACATAATTTTGAGTTGCTGTGTGATAGAGATGTAGCAAGAGTTTTGCAATGTCCTTTGTAAGCCATCCATAGACAATTTAGTAATGGGACAGCATAGAAAAACTTTAAATAAAATAAATATGAATAGAATCCTCATTATTTTCCTCGCTCCCTCAAGTGTACAGTTGTACAACTTACTCTGGAAATGATTGGTTCTGGAATTCTGCTTTTTCCTTTTTATTTACTAGGAAAAGAATGTTGTTTGCAAATTCCAGCTGTCTTTATTTGGGAAATTAATTAATAAGCCAGAAACTTATCTACACAGAATTCTCCATGGTGGCATTATTGCAATAGATCCTCACTGTAATCTTTTACATCTGACTGTTAGGAGACTGCCTCATAGACAGAGCTGCATTCAGGCAAGCAAGAGCTTTAAGTGCCAGATTTACGGTTCTCTGAAGGGCACTTTAACTCTATTAATGGGTTGGTTAATGTGGGAATTAATGGGTCATTTAGGAACTCTGAACTCTTCTTGGAAAGGATTTCTGGTAAAAGAGCTCTTGGAAATGTGAAGGCCCCTGCGGATCTGGTAGGTTTCCCACACGCCTGGGGCGCTGCAGAAGCTCCTGGAGCAACTGCAAGGTCTCAGGTACTTTGAGCAAAAAGTGGACGACAGTATCTTAAGGGGAAAAGTTAAAATACAATTTTCTGTACTCAGAACTGTTTATGCAGGCTTCTCAGCAAGGGGGACCAGTCCTGCATTACATGAACCAGTAAGAAAAGAGGAACTCGTGCACCTGAGCATGTGCAGAATGCCTTTCTTGGATTTAGTAGAAACATAGAAACAGAGCGAGTCAGAAGGGATCTCCCGGGCCATCTAGTCTGACCCCTGGCTCCAGCCAGCTCCGCTCACAACATGCCCACCATGTGCATGTCCAGCCTATCCTTGAACACCCGCACCGATGGGGCCTCAACGACCTCCCGTGGAAGCCCATTCCACACCCTCGGGGTCCCGACTGTCAGGAAGTGCTTCCTGGCATCCAAAGGGAACCTGGGTTTCCTGAGCTTTGCTCCATTGGAGCAAGTCCTGCCTTCCTCTGCAGGGGAGGACAGGTCTCTACCCACCCCCATGTGACATCCCCTCACATACCTGCATGTCGCCAACAGATCCCCTCTGAGTCTCCTCTTCTCCAGGCTGAAAAGACCCAGTTCCCTCAGTCTCGCCTCATACCCCATCCCGTTAAACCGGCCACCAACCTTGTGGCCCTACGCTGCACTGACTCCAACCTG